GACGGTATAAGAAATTTGAAGTATGAGAAGTGACACCTTAACTACTTGGTCCCTGAGGCTAGCCAAGAAAGAATCAATCATATGGGACAATTTGTGGAAAACGAAGATTGAGTGGGACGATATTTTGAGGGACACAGTCAAGAAAGAATCAATCATTGTACACTTACCATGATCATGTTGCATTATTTTATATGCAAACATTTGAATATCTCATGTGACATATCAACATGTGTAATCTGTTCCCCCACTGCAATTAAACAAAACGTTTTACTCAAATTTATGATAGAGACATATTAATTTATGTGAAAGCAAATGACTTGGACTTTTCTATCAACGACAGCTAGGGGTTGTAATAATAAACTTGTAGTCATGCATATTAGGTATGCTTTTTTCATCCAAATAAAGGACAAAAAAGGGTTTTCACATTTGTGAAATCTACTTTTACGCCTTCTTTTAGATTACTAAAAGACCATGACTTCACAAGATAGATTTTTTACCAACTACATGAATCTTTAATCTAAGGCAGTCAAATCAAAATGAGTTCTAAAGATAAGAAAGAAAGAAATGCATGTACTTTCTATAGTTTCAACAAAGTAGTCCAGATTATTTCTGCAGCGTGTATATATATATATATCTAATTTCAAATGAAAGTAGAGAGCTTTTAAGCCTCCAACAATTATACATATATGGGTATTTCCAATTCATGTTGGCAAAAATAGAGAACTTTTATATAATTTGATTATTTTAGCTAATTCGGGAATTACATAAGGAGTTGACTACATAATTAGCATGAAATTTTGTTTTTCTCGTAATATTGAATGGAAAAATATACTTGACTCCTTATATGTAATCAGTCATTTCTCTTAACAAATAAATTACATTTTAGCATGCCAACGGGGTCTAGTCCAGTGAAAGAGATCCTTGACTTGCAGACCATTGATCACATGTTCGAACCACCATGACACTTTGGTAGTCACATGTACTGTGTAATAAAACTTTTTTTTGTTGTTGTGATTTTAATGAGTTACCCGGGATAATTTGTATATATTAAATTTCGTTTTCGAATTCGTTATGTTGAATAGATGTGTTTGAGAAACCCTCCTCTCCCTTGTAGTTTAGACTATCTCTTTTATTATAATAAAAAAAACAAAGTTTCACATGTACTGTGTAATAAAACTTTTTGTTGTTGTTGTGATTTTAATGAGTTACCCGGGATAATTTGTATATATTAAATTTCGTTTTCGAATTCGTTATGTTGAATAGATTAAGTGGATTAGCTGGGTAAGCGTGGTGGATAGTTTTGAGTGGCCGAACCGTGTGAGGGTAAAAAGGTTTTAATTCTTGAAATTCATTTGCTACTTGCTGGCGATATTGACTCATTCTCTGGGTGTTGAGACTACTTAATCACTGGATAAGAATGCCTTTAAAAATAAAAAAATAAAAAGTTGTCAAACCCACTAGTAATTAGAAACTGATTAATATCTCTTAATAATATATTAGTTCCGTATTAATTCAAATGCCACAACCAAAAAATTAAAAACAAGGGAAAATTAAGGGGGTGTATTCAATTGGGATTTTAAAAGACTATTTTGGGATAAATAAGTCTTGTGGTATTCAATTAAGATTTTTAAATAATCTAAAAAGTCTTGTGATATTCCATTAAGACTATTAGGATTTTTTAAAGAGGGTTACCAAATCTGGTGGTATTCAATCAAGACTTTAAACAAGTAACAAAAAGTCTTGTGGTATTCAAAAACTTGCTAATTTTGAAGGATTTTTTTAAAATGCAGAATGTGTGAGATTTTTTAGTGAGAGATATAAATACCAAACCCTATCTCAAATCCCACCTTAACCCATCAGATTTTCACGTGGGACTTTTTTTATTCATTCCTTCCTCACCTTGACCTCCACCAAGCAGTTGTGCACTGGCCTGACGACCAGACCACCAATACCTAGAGCTACTTGCTGTTGGGTGTGAGCAACGACCTTCCTTCAATTCCCCATCTCCCTCTCTGTTGCATAATAAAATCTTGTGAATCCTCCATCACCTTCAACCCCCCAATTCACCAATAAAAATCTCAACTTTGTTCTTTGATTTTTCTGTGGTGGGGCAGTGGGGCGGTGGGCTGACAAGAAAGAAGACATGGAGGGGCACATGGAAAGTTTTACGACCATATACTGATTTATCAATATAATTATATCTGCTTCATTAACTAGCTAGGGCAGGATACCGGTGCAGCGGAATAGGATGGCATGGTATTAATGTTTCTTCCATCTCTTTCGTTATCTATGGTGGTTGGAAATCGCTTTCTACAATTGCACAACCTCTTGATCAATATACATGTCAAATCTAATATAATCAAAAACCTTGAAATGCAGGATGACTTTTTTAGATTGTCAATAACAGTTGTTAAAACTAAAACAAAAATGCATAATTTGGGTTTTGAAAATTCTCCTAAAGCTAGCAGATTGGTGCTGGTGCAGAACTAATTGCACCATAAATGAGCTCTGTTGCCAATGTGTATATTGGAAGATCCTTGGTAAGTTTTATGGTACATCCAGTGAGTTACAGACTGCCTATAGGGTGTTTGATGAAATGCCTGTGAGAAATGTGGTGTCGTGGACATCCATTATTTCAGGGTTTGCACAAGAGTGGCAGGTTGATGTGTGTGTGCAGCTTTTCAGTGAGATAAGGCATTCTTCAAAACCCAATGATTTTACGTATGCAAGTATTATGAGTGCTTGCACAGGCAGTGGAGCTCTTGGGCATGGCAGAAGTGCTCTTTGCCAGCAATTAGTGATAGGGTTGTCATCTCAATAAACAAGTCACTACCCACAGTCACAAACTAAGCCATAAAAGTTGAAGTCAACTAAAGAAATCATTAAGAGCACTTTAAAAGTATTGCTTAGTTGTTTCATAATCAAGAATGCCCTTCATAAATTTAAGCAAATTGGACCCTGAAAAGGCACCAGAGACAAAACCTAGTTAATGAAAGAACTACAACTAGGTAATGTATCTTGGAAGGCAAAGATAATGTATCTTGGGGATGCCAAAGATGCGCTTTACATATTCAAAAATTTGGATGGCAAAGATAATGTATCTTGGAACTCCATGATTGCAAGGTATACATGCCCAGCACAGCCTTACATCGCAGCCTTTCGTCCTGTAGGGTTCATGGAAGTGTGTGGATTGGCATTGAGGCTGCAGATAGCATGGCAAACCTGTACAATTGGAGCCAGAGTGTGGTTATACCCATGTGCAATTGGCAAACCTGTATGTTAGCGTGGGATGCTGGGACGGGGCAGCAAGAGTTCAGAAGTTGATGAAATAATATTATTTCCTATTTTTGTATTGAGAAAGACATACAAACAATGAAATAATATTAACTTTTAATTTTTACGGGTCTATTTTTCTTCGAAAAAAATCTTATGTTGAACCCAGAAAAATCCATGTGGTCCTTTCAAATCTTATAAATCCTATTATAGAAATCTTTAAATTTCTTAAGTAAAAAATCTTTATTATATAAATCCATAAATAAAATCCTATAAGTCATTATATTCTAGTTAAATCCAATACACTTTCTAGTAAAAACATGAAAATGCATACATAAATTTAAATTTTCAATTTTGTTGTAGCATAATTTTTTTTTTTTACACTTATTATTTTTTAGGCCCATTTCGGCCTTGCCCGATATTTTCTCTCTCCTCTTTAAAGCTCGGCCTGACCCGGCCCAAGCCCATGAAATTTGGGCCAGGCTAGCCCGGCCCGGCCCATTGACGAGCCCTACTTGGAAGGCAAAGATAATTTATCTTGGGGATGTCAAAGATGCGCTTTACATATTCAAAGTGTGGTTCTACCCATGTGCAATTGGCAAACCTGTATGTTAGCGTGGGATGCTGGGACGGGGCAGCAAGAGTTCGGAAGTTGATGAAATAATATTATTTCCTATTTTTGTATTGAGAAAGACATACAAACAATGAAATAATATTAGCTTTTAATTTTTACGGGTCTATTTCTTCGAAAAAAATCTTATGTCGAACCCAGAAAAATCCATGTGGTCCTTTCAAATATTATAAATCATATTATAGAAATCTTTAAATTTCTTAAGTAAAAAATCTTTATTATATAAATCCATAAATAAAATCCTATAAGTCATTATATTCTAGTTAAATCCACTAGATTTTTTTATCCCTAAATAGTCTTTTAAAATCTCAATTGAATACACCCCCCTAAAGCTAAAGTGATACGCTATCTAAGTATTCTGGCTATATAGAGAAAATTAAGTATTCTACCTTGACTTGTCACCCTCTTGCTGTGTTGGTTCAAAGCTGTTGTGTTCTTATGAGGTGTATTGGCAACTGTCACCTTGCTCATGTTTATAGAGAAATGAATTTTGTAGCTGATTGTATGGCTAACTGGAGCCTTAACTTGGATATGGGGGTTTGTTATTTGCATGAGGTTCCTGCCTGGGTTAGCTCTTTCTTGGTGGATGATTTGTTAGGCGTTGTTAGGTCTCACTTGATATGTATTAGTCAGTTGTCGTTTCTTTTCGGGATTTTGTCCCCAATCTCATAAAAAAAAAAAGTATAAGTGAAAATGAGATGTATATTCTTCTATTAAAAAAAAAATTAAAATAAAGAATACCATTGGTCCATTGGCATGACTAATTCGGCGAAACCGCTGTGCTTGATCTGACCTTATAAGTGAAAATGAGATGTATATTCTTTTATTAAAAAAAATTAAAATAAAGAATACCATTGGTCCATTGGCATGACTAATTCTGCGAAACCGCTGTGCTTGATCTGACTTTATAAAAAGAAAACTAAAATAATTATTGTTTCCATATGTATATGAACTCACAATAGTAATATTCTAGGACAAAGGTCCCTATAAATATAAGTACAGATCACAGCAAGAGTTCTACTTTCATAGATTCATAGAGTTTTCCATCCCAAAAACTCAACGCTCTTCCATTTTGTTTTGGTCATACATATATATACCCTCCAACATGAAGGTACATTTTATGCAAGTACGTTGCCTTCATTTTCATGTATACATATATTTATGTGTTTGTTGTTTTACAGCAAAAGATATTAGTGAAGGTGCAAATGCACGGTGACAAATGCCGAACCAAGGCCTTGAAGATTGCAGCATCTGCATACGGTATATATATATCCATGATCCATCAAAATTTCTTTCAACTTTTTCAGATATATTAATTGGAGTTGATAACATGAGCAGGTGTGAGCAAAGTGTCGATAGAAGGAGCAAACAGGGATCATGTGGAGGTGATTGGAGACGGCGTGGACTCGGTTTGCCTGACGGAGTTGCTAAGGAAGAAGCTTGGCTTCGCGGCCATAGTAAAAGTTGAACAAGTGAAAGGAGATAAAAAAGAGGAAAAACCAACTGCATGCTATGTTCAGTATTGTGCTCCGCAGTGTCCTCCAATGTACTGTGAAGTCGTTCGTGAATATCCAGAGCCAACTTGCTCCATCATGTAATTGTCCTAGGAAGTTTTATTTAATTTCATGATTATATCAATTTAATTTCAGTATTTTAATTCATGATTGAAAAGTTGATTATATATGTACAAAATGGGCACATCCACCTCAGCTAGTTTGTCATTTCATATCGAGCAAATTTGACTTTCATTTTTGCTGATGCTAAATGGAGTTGTTGATTTCTGTAGAAAGTTATGACCCAAAGAGGGTAAATTTCACTACGAGAACGTAACTTTTACTGATGACACCAATTTCATTACCCGAACTTTTAATTTTGAGTATAAAGTTTTCACTTCAGGCTTAAATAAGTTATAAGTGATGCCTAGATTGCTACATATATTTCCTCATTTTCATATGCAAATATTTAATATCTATGTGGCGTAGCCATCATATCTAACAGATATATATATATTTATACGTGAAAACTACTAAAATATGAGAGAATATTATTTATGGGAATTTTCTATATATTATTTTCTTTATAGCAAGAGGTCATATTTATAATACAAGAAAGTCTACGTAGGCCAAGGAAAAGTAATAACTCCTTATTTTATTAGCGGTAGAAAATCAAAAATAAAAGGAAATCAATTACAATTGATATGAGAATTCTTGACGTGCAAGGAAAGTCACAAGTCTTGCCAACAAAGACTTTGACTTTGTTTTATCGCTAATTTTCAAAATAAAAAAAAGACTTTGACTTTGTTATGATATATATGTTATATTATATAATATTTGTATGTAGGAGATGTATATTTAATGACAGCTAGTGCAGGTTGGAATAACAAACTTGTAGTCATGGATATTAGGTACGCTTTCTCATCCAAATAAAGGAGAAAAAGAAAGGATTTCGCAATACGAAATCTGCTTTTTACGAGTTGTTATAGATTACTAAAAGACTTTGACTTCGCTGTTCCAATGTAAATGATCTAAAAGATATAATCACCATGACGAGAATTAATTACTTTCATAAACATGTATGAACCACTTAAATAATTAAGTTATAAGTGATTTAGCGGACATATGAGGACGATTTTTCTCGTATATGTTTCAAACGATTTTCTAATTACACGTTGAAAACTATTCTAGAGAAACCTATGATGGAGAGAATTTTAGTTTTCAGTTTAGCTCTTGGAACCCTATACCAGAGGTAATTTCCTATTATAGAGAGCCAACTTTGCTAGATACCTTGCTTTCAAATCGAATTTGTATTATCTTAGAAAAACCTATGATCATATGGCAGGTAGTATATTGCAAATCAACTATCAATATGAGACAAAGGGGTTTGGGTCATTATCAAAGGAAATGTGGACAATATATATATCTTGTGGGAGATCATACCACACTGTGGAGGTAGGTTGGTAGTCATAAAGAATCAATCATATTCTTCACTTCTCATCTTGCCTAATTTTAATATACAAATATTAAATATCTCTTGCCTAATTTTAATATACAAATATTAAATATCTCATGTGACATAGTCATGCATGTAATTTATATTTTCTAAACAAATGTTTTCCCATGGGCTCTTCACATTATCTATCTCTTCTATTCTAACATAGGAATAAAAGATAAAGAAGCTTAACCACCCTTTATTGATGATCAAATTCCATAGCTACAAAAGAGAAAAACCAAACTTGAAAAGAACAAATAGGTGTGAGCAAAGTGTCCATCGAAGGAGCAGACAAAGATCACATTGAGGTGATTGGAGATGGGGTTGATTCTGTTTGCTTGACCAGATTGTTAAGGAAGAAGCTTCGCTCTGCCACCATTGTCAAAGTTGAAGAAGTGAAGGAAGCTAAAGCTGATAAGAAAGAGGAAAAGCCAACTCCACCAGTTCAATGGATATCATCAGCCAGCTATTGTGCTCCGCAGTGTCCTTCAATGTATTATGGAGTGGTTTGTGAATATCCAGAACCAAACAACTGCTCTGTCATGTAATTGTCCTTGACATTTTAATTCAAATTTGAAGACCAATCATGTAATTTTTTACTTGGCATTTTAATTTAAATTCGAAGATCATTATCAAACAACTGCATTTCATTGAGTTACTTTCTCATTGACCTCTAAACTGTTCGGGTACATTAATTCTCATTATGATTTGAAAGTTTGTTAGTGTTGATGGTTTTAGGTATGTGATGACATTTTTTCTTACAATAATAAACCTTTTCCCTAAGATTAATCAAGTTTTGTAGAAGATAAGTTCGATACCTAAACTTGTGCACATTTGTGCTCTATAATGCAAGCACTTGGACGATATCTTAATGTACTAACTGAATAACAAATATGAACTTCTCACAGAGAGAGAGTTTAATTTAGATCATACTTTTGTGTTTTAATATTATTATTTATTTTCTTTAGTATGATTTGAATAACTCCAAGATTGTACATTTGTATTGATTAAAGTTCAAAACGGAGGGAGATACAAATTATTAACACCGCGTAAAGATTTGAAGCTGCTGGATGGTATCTTACCTCTTAATCGTCAACTTGTGTGTGGACTCCAATTTAAGTTGGTTCATGTACGGAGTCAAGAAGTATGTCTTGTTATGTGCGTAGACTATGAGGATGATTCCAAGAATGGAGTGAAGAGTAATGCAGAGATTTATGTCATTCATTTCGGATTTGAACTTCTACCGAGTAGAGATGCCTTAGGCTTCAAAATGGTCTATCCTCTTATTTAGTATACATCGGTCATCCGTACCTAGCACCACTGGAATATACATTCACGGTGCCTTAATGTACTGAGTCCATAACCGAGATGAGCTTTTCATAAAGAAAGAGTTTAATTTAGATCAAACTTTTGTTTTTTATTTATTTATTATGATTTATTTTCTTTAGTTTGATTTGAACAACTCCAATATCGTGCTTTTCTGTTGATCATAGTTCAAAATGAGGGGATATGCAAATTATTGACACCTCTTTAAGATTTTAAGATGTTGGAAGATATCTTACCTCTTAATCATCAACGTGTGCGAGGACTCCAATTTAAGTTGGTTCATGTACATGGTCAAGAAGTATGCCATTGACTTAAATGCTACTGAGGCGGCCGGCATCATTCTCTTGTCCTTCCTTAAATAAAGTGCTTGGTACAAAGGTATGTTGATGACAATCAAAACCCCACGCACATAGAAGAATTTGCAAAGCCATCGTCTCATAAACGTGTGCTATATATATGTCCTTTGATCCCGTGATTGCTTCTTTTACAAGCTCAGCAAAGCAGTACAAATTTCTGGACCAGGGAGCCAAAGGTGAATAGAGTGATTTTGATTTGTTTCAGGAAATTACCTAAGACTGCGTTCTGGACCACATATCCAAGATTAACTTGTCACGAGTAACAATAATCTTATGGTAAAAGATTAAAGGGGATGTAAAGAAAAAAAGGTACCAATTGAATCAACCTATGCTTCCGAGTCAAGAGAACTATAAACTTGGATATTTAGTCCAGCAATACCTAAAAATGGACCCGCCAAAAGGCCGAAGCAATAGCTAGCTACTAAGATACCTTTCAGAGATGCTGCAAAAGCTTCCTCAGGGGAAGATCGTTCTGATGTTGATGTAGAAATAAAAAGAGTTAACACCAAACTCTTATTCATAATTTTAAAAATAAAAATTCATAATCTTAACAAAATCGCTATTATTAACTATGTGAAGAAAATTACTTCAACAAACAATAAGAGAGGAAAGTTTTGCTATATTTCTCACGTGCTTGCTTACTCAACTGTGCTTTTCAGTTGTACAATAGGTATTGGTGATAGTTGGTTTCAAATTTTGGATGGGCGGTAACTATTTGACTATATGGTTTTTTTTTTGGTCAAGACTACATGATATTTAATAATGAAAAAAAATTTAGTGGGGAGGGTTTTTGCAGACAGTAAACTTATAGACAGAGACAATGAAATACATCTATTGCAAGACAGTGAGTACATCTAAATTCTAATGAGTTGTTTATTAGGCTCAACCGAAAAACCAACATTTTTGTCTAGAGCTATGAGGGGTTAGGTTATAAGTAGTAAGGTAGCGTCGGTGGAAAATTGGGGGTTCAGGCAAAGTCACCCATTCGTCATTTTTGGGGTCTAACATCTCGAATCCAGGAGCGAAGTGTACGCCACATATTAACATTAAACTTCGGGACGAGAGAACATATAATTTGGAGTCATGCTCCACCACGAGGGGGCAATTCTTCCCTTGTTGAAGGGGACGGTGACGTATCATAGGGGGTGATTTCATAATGCAGTCCGCAGTGTCAAACACATAAATGTCTGTACACGGACATGGTGTGAAATTCCCCCATCCATCGAATTCCGGTTCAATGCCGCCTGCCAAAACGATGTTGGAGCCGCATACACCAAAACCCATAAGTACGGGAAGACGCTGATTTGTTTTACCCACTATACTGGATTCTGCCAATGGAAGTATATAGCAATTTTTCTCCAAATCAAAGGCGTGAATAAAGTAAGAAACCGAAGTGCCCCGAGAATACTAGCCGAAACATAAATAAAGGACTTTCTTCCGCTTAAGCGACGAACCAGGGCAATCCATCAGCTCCTCCATAAATAAAGGAATTTCTTCCACTATTTAGTTGTATCGTTCGGCACAAAAAAAGGTTCACTAGTTTGAAACTGATGAGGACTATATATTAGGGTTTAGGGTAAATTTTCAGATATCTCAAATATGTATGGAGTTATTTATAGAGAAGTACAAAGATGTGTTAACCCTAAATACAATAAGAAATAAATCTAAATTACAATAGGAACTCAATTACAATAGGAAATAAATCTCAATTACAATATGACTAAATAAATACGTAAGTACCCAAAATCCTAACATAGTAAGGAACCAAAATCCTAACTAAATAAGGACTCTCCAACAATATATATATATAGTCTAAACTATTGTAAATTGAAAATGGAGATTCGAATTTGAGCGCAAGGAGACGAATTCACTACCCGTTAACTGGCCTAATTCATGCCATACAACGAAAAAAAAAAAAAAAAAAAAAAAAAAAAACTTGACTGTCGGTAATTGGTTTACAATAATGATAATAAATGTAGTATGTACCATTGTCATTACAAAAGTCTACCAAACCGTGCAGGTGTATGTGGACTTAAAATTACAAGTCAACAGGAGCTAATAATATTATAGGACGAAGCTGGCTCCCGTAAAATAAGTACATATATATAATATATGCCTTGACACAGCATAGTGATCGATAGTTCTACTTTCATAGATTTATTCACTCATAGATTTCATAGAGTTTTCCATCCCAAAAAACTTCAAAGCTTCATTTCATATATCCTTCTCTCCAACATGACGATAAGCCTCTAAAACTTAACGCGTCCATTTCATACTTAAATTCTCTGGATTTTATTGTACATAGGCATACTTTCCTTTTTTATGCGAGTGAAATTGAATATATAAGATAATCATTGCTCGCACATACTTTTGTGCAAATTTTTATGTGCAGCAAAAGATAGTAGTGAGTGTGCCAATGCACTGTGACAAATGCCGAACCAAGGCCCTGAAGATTGCTGCAGCTGCACACGGTAGGCATCGATCAATCGATACATACAGATCAATTTATCAAAAAAAGAAGAAAAGAAATTCAAGTATTTCATCACTAATAATTAGGTCAGTTGATAAGTATTAATGGATGATTACATATAAAGCAGGTGTGAGCAAAGTGTCGATTGAAGGAGCAGACAAAGGTCATATGGAGGTGATTGGAGATGGGGTTGACTCTGTTTGCTTGACCAGTTTGTTAAGGAAGAAGCTTGGCTTCGCCGCCATTGTCAAAGTTGAAGAAGTGAAAAAAGATAAAGATGATAAGAAAGAGGAAAAGGCAACCCCTCCTCCAGGCTGTGTTCAATATTGTCCTCCAATGTGCTATGAACAGGTTCATGAATATCCAGAACCAATCCAATGCTCTATTATGTAAACCGTTTTCACAGCAATTACTCTATTTAGCTTGAAGATTGATATATCGATATCTTAGATCGATCACAACCAAACTAGGGTTTATAATTTTGATTTCTTTTTCTTGTTTAAGATTTTGTTTGTGCCTTGTGCCTGTGTTTTGGTTTTTGTTTTTCATATATGTGGACTGCCATTTGTTATGAATTTAGATTAATTAATAGTAATTCTTGGACCAGTTATAATGATTACACTAAAATGCACAATCCCTAAATGTACAGACCCGGTAACCAACTTAGTGAGGAACTCTCAAAGATTCCAAAAGCAAATTTAAGGTTACATTTTTGTTTTTGACGTGCTATACATGGAACGTGTTGCTTTCCATAGACCCCAACTTGAACGAAAGAGGCTTGTAATTTAGCTATAACATATACAACTTTTGGTGATATATTCATATTTTCCACTTGGACTTATGAGTAACGCAAGGGGTTTTAGTAAAGACTTTCCACATATATGATAATGACAGCACATTTGAGATAAACCTATGACTGGTCAGAATTTCGCTTTGCCTTAGCTTTGGGATGGAATGTTTCATTTCTTTGTCTTGTCGCAACATATAACTATTATAATTTTTTTGAAATTTCCCTGCCATTTGTGTTACATCATTCTCCCCTTGCGTACTTTGTAGGGAATTATCTTCAACGAAAAGTCGATCAATTAATCTACACCATACACGTCGTCGACTTGTCGACACGTTTACTACTATTCAGACAATAAAAACAATAATGCCAACACCAGTCCACTGATAGGTCTTCCACGTGTGAAGTCTAGGACATATATTATGTTTTGTTGCAAAAGACTTGTGGTTTGATTGCTTCCCCATGCAGACTTCTGTCTAGATTCCAAGTCCTCAACCCATTGTACAAGTCCACTCAGGCTCAGTTAGTGGAATTTGTGCATTTCGCTTGAGTTTGGTTTTCAAAGAAGAAATATGAGTGGTAGGTCTTGTTATTGGAAATAAACTTTGCTAGCAAAGAATAATAGAACTAATAATACTAGACCACATGAGCCTGTCTCAATGCACGGCAATGATCAGAGGGATTGCGAAGCTTTTTAAACCCCAAATTAAGGAGTAGCTGTGGTTATGCATTTTCTTGAATAGCAGATGAGGAGCAGATGAAGTGCGAGTTGAAGAATCACTAACTCACATCTCATATTGGAAAGTTAAGAAATTTTACATGCAATAAGGTCTTATAGGCTACTCTAACATAGCCATGGCCAATAAGTTTTGGACAAAATCTCAATTTCCTTCATGGTATCAGTCACATGTAGTGGCAAAGCCATAAATTTTTTACGGGCACCTTGAAATTTACTTTTCTTCACAATGACATTTTAATTAATTTTTTTACTTGATACAAATTCATAAATTTAATTACTATACTCTATTATTTTACATATCACATTAACTATCTACTCATCATTGATACTAGCAAAAGATATTGCATGTACTTCGTTAAATATACACATACACTAACAAAATTCAAATTGTAATTTATTACTACAATCAAAGTCAAAAATAAGACAAAAAGAGAGTATGGGTAGTAATAATAGTGGAAAAGGGAGAGAAGACAAATATAAAAGGCACTTTGATGTTTGATAAAAGATGTGTAATTGTGTTAAGAAACCCAAGGTCTCTAGAACATTGAAAGGGGGCATAGGACCCCTGGGCGGCTGGGCCTTAGCTCCCTCTACCCCTGGTCACACGTTTGGGGACATATGAGGATATGTGAAGAAATTTCCCATAATCGTGTGAGCATGTGAAGAAATTTCCCGTAGTTAAAAAATCAGTTTTCCTCCGTTGGCTGAGATCATCACATGTAAGGTTGGACGATTGTACGAACACTACTGAAAAAACTCACACTAGCTACTGATTTTGATTTTTCCCCTAAGTTGATTTTTGAGACAATAATATCATTTGTCTCCACTAGTAATATAGACTATGCAACCGCCATTGTTTTATCAGTTTCCTAATTTGATGTTGATATTGCTTGTAGGGTACCCAGTGGAGAAGCCACGTAGAGCCCAAAGGGGTCCCAGGCCCATACTAAACTCTCTCTCTCTCTCTCTCTCTCTCTCTCAAGCCATTTCACTCTCCTTTACTTTCTCTCTCTACGTGTGTAAATAATTTAATGTTGTGTGTATGAATTGAATTGAATTGAATATTGAAAAAAGATATAAGGGTTTTATATATACAACAATCATAGCTTGACGTGTGAAAGCTGTAATGATTTTCAAGAAGCTCTACGATAACCTGTAGTGTTTATGCTCTCATTCTCTTTATTTTTATATTTTGCAAAATGACCCCCCCTAACCTCAATTCCTGGTTCCACCACTATGGTACCCAATTGTCTTTAGTAGGATTGACTCACATAGATGGTTCGTAGGACTCACTATATACATGCATCCACTGGCGGATCCACAGAGGCGCAAGGAGGTGCAGCTGCACCTCCCCTCGCCGGAAAAAGCTTTGAAGTCGCCGGAGTTTGCCCCTCAGCTCTACCTTGGAGGTGCCCACCACCTGTTCGAATAAATGCCTCAGCAACCCAGCAACCTCCTTTTCTTTGTTGCGATGCTGCGATGGGAGCAGCTTTTGTTTTGTTTTTTAAGTCCTGGCCAAACGATGTCGTTTTGGCCAGGCAAAAAAAAAAAAAATTTAAGAGCAAACCTGAAGCCTTATTTCCACAGAACGGAAGAGCGTGTTCTTGGAGTCCAAGTTGGAATTAAATGGACCAATGGATACCTTGCGTTGAATGATTCTTCAAGTTGGAATTAAATGGACCAATGGATACCTTGCGTTGAATGATTCTTCAAGTTGGAATTAAATGGACCAATGGATACCTTGCGTTGAATGATTCTTCAAGTTGGAATTAAATGGACCAATGGATACCTTGCGTTGAATGATTCTTCAAGTTGGAATTAAATGGACCAATGGATACCTTGCGTTGAATGATTCTTCAAGTTGGAATTAAATGGACCAATGGATACCTTGCGTTGAATGATTCTTCAAGTTGGAATTAAATGGACCAATGGATACCTTGCGTTGAATGATTCTTCAAGTTGGAATTAAATGGACCAATGGATACCTTGCGTTGAATGATTCTTCAAGTTGGAATTAAATGGACCAATGGATACCTTGCGTTGAATGATTCTTCAAGAAGCCTTGCGTGCTCTTGAGTCTTGCTGCAGATCCATCCCTCTCCTCCAAGTTTGAAGTTTTCTTTAAAAAAAAAAAAAAAATTCTTCTGGTTTTTTTTTTCCTTCTGTTTTTTTATATATTTTATAATATGTATTTTAATATTGTTGTTTATTTTAGAGAGATTATTTTTGTTTTATGATTTGGTTATCTTTGTATAACCATAAACCCTAAATCCTCTTTCGAATAATTTGGGAATTTCTTTTGGCTTTTAGCCTTTTAAATGTTGCCCCTTCCTAGGAAAATTCCTGGATCCGCCTCTGCATGCATCAGCAGCAATGCCACAAGACTTTTCAATATTTTAATGTAATCTTAATCGTCCTTCTGAAGGAAACGTTTGGCTTTGACCATTTACGCGGATGCCCTGGAATTAATTAATTTTTGTTTTTTCAATGATTGTGGTTCTATAAATAGTAGTTGGGTAAAAACTGACACACATGAATCTGTGGCCAATTAAGCTTCCATTGCATGCATGAAATGTGAGATGCTCAATCACTTACAAGCACCCTAGTTAATCTATTTTTGAATATGCATTCTCTTCCTGTTTTTTTTTTCTTTGTGAAAAATCAAAGTATTCCAGGAAATCAAATTTGAATATCTTGGTAGGTGTCTTGACTAAGTCTGTGGAAATCTTAGTTTCCAAGCAGCTGACCCCATATTTATATGGATAGGGACAGACAGGTCAACACGAGGTAATATCCTTGGAAGACTAAGGGCCCGTTCGTTTATGTTTTGAGAGCCCATTTTCATTTTGAGAGAACAAAAACAAACAAAAAACTTGTTCGGTGGGCAAAAACATAAAACACAGAGAACGTTTTAAGAAAACAAAAACAACTTCACGTCTACTTGTAGAAAACAAAAAAAAGCTGTTTTCATTCTCACAGGAAACAAACACTGAAAACACGCTGCTTCTCTCGCTCAATCTTCTCTCCCCATTCCCATCAGACCAAAATCAACGCTGCCAACAGAGAACCACGTGCAGAGCTTGAACCACCACCATCACCCAATCAAAATCACCACCACCCCATCGAACCAGATTGACATCACCGCCACTCAATCGAACCCAATAGAATCTCTATGCAATTGAATTGAACCACCATCGTTGACAGAGAGAGGGTGCAGCATGAAGAGAATGTGGAAAAGAGGACCACAATTTACATGAATGAAACTGGAAGCTGGAAATTTCAGAGCCAAGAGCCAATATCTCTAAAACTAGAATTATCTCTAAAAATAAATAAATAGGATTATGGAAGCTGGAAATTTCAGAGCCAAGAGCTGGGTGTGCAGAGGAAAGGGTTGGTCTGATTCTTCAATTGCTGGGTGGGGTTGGTCTGATTCTTCAATTTTGGAGAGAGAGAGAGAGAATGAGAGAGGTATCTGGAGGGAGAGAGAGAGAGAGGGGAGTGATAGAATTGGGGCGGGTTTGCAGAGAGTGAAAGAGAAGGTTGGGTTGAGGTTTCATTTTAATTTTTTTTAAAGATAATTCTAGTTTTATACTTTAAAATTTTATTCTATTTTTTAAATGATATTCTTTTAGATGATTAAAAAAAATACTTTTTAAAAATAATATATGTACTAATTTTTTTTTTGAAACTCACATATTGATTACATAATGTTGTATTAAAAAATAAAAGGCATTTTAATTAAAGTTACATATTCATTGTTTTTGTTATTTTCACGTATTACTGCCAGACGCGTTTTCACTGTTTTTGTTCTCTGAAAACAGTTTTCAACTAAGCTACCAGACGCGTTTTTATTCTCTGAAAATGCGTTTTCATTTTCTCGTTTTCATTCTATGAAAACATTCTCTGAAAATGCTCTCTAAAAACATTACCAGACAGGCCCTAAGCTTCTATACATAGAAGCAACCTCCAAGTGTTGAAGCACAAAAAGAAATATTAAAAAAAAATCATAGAGTAGAGAAAAGATGTATTCATGCATAGAAAGATTCATAGAATGGATTTCTTTTTGGAAAGAGGAAATTTCATACGCACTCCCCAACACCAAGGTAAGCTTAATTAGCCTTTCAATTAGTTTTTGTTTGTTCCTAAAACATATATTTTTTAAGTATTTCCATTCATTTTATTATATTAGAGTTATTTTCTTGTTTAGGAAAGTGAAACAAAAGGCTTTAACTATATATATATATATATATGATGTTTATTTAAGCAGCAAAAGATAGTCTTCAAGGTGCAAATAAAGTCTGAGAAATACAAAACCAAGGCCTTGAAGACTGCTGCAAAGGCCAAAGGTATGTATGCATGCATCAATTTCAAATATATAATTTGTGATTACTCAAATGATATCATTCAAAGTAATTATTGCTAATTAATTAGTTAGTTAATGATGAACCACTAATTAATTAAGCAGGTGTGAGCAACGTTTCCATAGAATTAGAGAAAGGGCAAGTGGAGGTGGCTGGAGTTGGAGTTGATTCCGTTTGCTTGGCCAAGTCATTGCAGAAGAAGCTTGGCTACGCCACCATAGTAAGCGTTGAAGAAGCGAAGAAAGAGGAGAAGAAAGAGGAGAAGAAAGAGGAGATAAAGCCAATTCAATGGGCATCAACCTATTTTCCCTGTCCACAGTTTCCTGTGTACTATGACTTTGACGGGTACTGCCGATATTAAAGTAAGCACTGTTAATCTTGAGACTCCTATCCAGTTGTCTACAATGGACCTTTGCCTTTCTACGTATGGCAAAAAGGCAAACATTTGCTATGTTTACGTGATTGTTGTTGAAGTTTTGTCCATTCTACGTTTGGATAAGCTAAAATAAGTTGAAATTTAATAGAAAAAATAAGTTGAAATTTAAGATGAGAAATTGACAATTCTCTTGTTTGGCAAGTTACGAACGGAATTTATTAAATGATGCACAGAAAAATCATGGAAATTGGGGCATCAAATTCCCGAGTTTAATTTCCACAAAAATAGGTGTCATTTCACAATTTTCATAGTGTCATTTACAAAATTCGAAATGTATAAATCCAAACACTAAAATCTTTAATTGCCAGAAATTAAAATGATGGAAATCTAAATTCCGTCATTTAGAATTCTTTATAATTTTCAATTTCTTCATCCAAATGGAGTTGATCCTGAACTTTTGAGTCATGTTATACGTTCTTCATTCACACCAAGAACCGCTAGAATGATATACAACATTTTGTACCCCTTTGACTCAAGAACAAGAGGGGTCGGCCCGACCCAATATTGAAGCAGGCTAATTCGAATACAAAATTTCATAATTTAACGACTTGTTCTCTAGTAGAGATGTATATTTTGTTGGCAAGTCCTTACTTAGTTGGGATTTGGGTTCCTTACTATGTTAGGATTTTAGTTACTTACCCATTTATCTAGTTTTATTATAATTAAGATTTATTTCCTATTGTAATTTATATTTATTTTCATACAATGGGTGTCATCTTTATTAGAAATATAATTCACAATGTGGTATACAAATGTAATTTTTCTATAATTTTCCTAATTTAAATGGTGAAACTTTACTTTTGGGAATATATAATCCCATGATCAACATACCTTTACATAGAATATGAAGCAGTTTTTGGGCATATGCTTATGCACTAAGACAAACAAATAAGCCCCACCACACAAAACATGTTGTCCTCAACTAAGACACAAGGACTAAATCAGTGGCTCCAGTTAACAATTCCAATTATCACTTGTATAAAAATAAATAAATTGTATTTAACCAAAAAAGGCCGATCCCTGATTCATGGGTCAAATTGTATTTAAACAAATAAGCCCCACCACACTCACATTGGCTTATTGGTACCAGTAACCAAAAGTCTCAAATTGTCTTTACCTGGATGGATGGATTCACTTAGATGGTTCCTAGGAGGTACTCTAGCTACATCAACGTTTATAAAAGAAAAAGAAAAAAAAAGAAAAAAAAAAAAAAAGGGGAAGAAGTTGATAGTTTAACGAATTAACATTAAAAAAAAATTGTAACAATATTTTAATGTAAATTTTATGACTGTCCACCAGAAAGACATCCTTGGAATTAATTAATTTTTCTTCTTTAATTTGGATGGTATCATAGCAGGGAAAATTGACTAGTTGTGAAGAAAAACTTTCCATTTTCCTTTAGTTATTTTTATATGCAGTTTTCACACATAAACTCCGAATTGCATTTTTGTTTTCTATGTATATGGCCAAATCAGTGCATCCACATACAGCTGTCTCTAATAAATTGAAGTTTTTTATCACAAATGGTCCTTGACGTTTACGAAATTATCACAAATGGTCCTTGAGGTTTTTTTGTGACACTAATAGTCCTTAACGTTTTGACTTTTTATCACAAATGGTCCCTACCATAAAAAATTCTATTAAGTGTATGATGTGGAAGATAAGTGGAGTCCACATGTCCAATCACATCGTGACATGTGGATTAAATAAATAAATAAATATTTTTTTGATGAAAATCCATTAAAAAACCATTTAGCCTCTCTCTCTCTCTCTCTCTCTCTCTCTCTACTCTTCAAGTTTTTCAATCCCGAAGACCAAGTTCAAGCTTAAGTTAAGTTCATCATCCTCTTCAAATAGACAAAGACCAAGAAAAGCCTGGGATGCATTGTAGAGAAATTGAAGCCAATAATACAAACAAACTCAACGATTTGCAGCCACAATTCAACTTTTATGAAGGATTAAGCCATCAGCAGCTAAAACTCAAGAGATTCTTAAAAGAGAACAGTCTGCACATTTAATTTCAATATCTGAAGTTGAGAAGTGGGAAGAGAATTTGAGGAAAGTATTGGTTGCTGAAAAGCAGTGTGTAGCCGAGATATGTCAAGATGCACTTATACAATTTTATATCTTCAATTTACTGGACTTTTATGGTACTTTTGTGTCAAGAGATGCACTTTCTTGCCACTTCTTGTTAGTCAATTTGTATGCAATTTTTTGTTTGGGTTAGAATTATTGATATGGATGTTTTCATTCACTGCAGCTGGAGAAAGCTTTGCGTGAAATGCATGAGGAGCACGCCCAAATAAAGCTCAAGTCTGAGGCAAAGTTGGCTGATGCAAATTCATTAGTTGTCGGAATTGAAGAGAGAGAGAGAGAGAGAGAGAGAGGCTAAATGGTTTTTTAATGGATTTTCATCAAAAAAATATTTATTTATTTATTTAATCCACATGTCACGATGTGATTGGAAATGTATACTCCACTTATCTTCCACATCATACACTTAACAGAATTTTTGACGGCAGGGACCATTTGTGATAAAAAGTCCAAACGTTAAGGACTATTAGTGTCACAAAAAAACCTCAAGGACCATTCATGATAATTTCGTAAACGTCAAGGACCATTTGTGATAAAAAGCCATAAATTTAATATGAAATTCAAGATGGCCAATCACATACAAAGCACCACCAGGGTCCAGATTAGACGTATCTTTCCAGCTAAAAACAAAGTACTCATTTTATCCGTTTATACTTACACTATTGCTACTCATACCTTCTTTTTTTTTGTTTTTTCGTAGAAGCGATTGGGGGATGGGGTTTATACAAATATTTATTGGGTGTTTGGGGGTTTCGAATCTCTGCCCGCATGGGTGGAAATGGAAGAACTGAACCAACTGAACTATACCCCACTAACATTGCAACTCATACATTAATCATTGTATTTCCCTTAATCCATATATATATATATATATATATTATTTTTGGGTTATTTTTTCTTTCTGAAAATTCAAAGTAGTCTGGAATCAAATTGGAATCTACGTACGTTGATGGACTCAGTCTATGTGAAAGCCTTGGTTTCCAAGCAGCTGACTGTGGGGACAGAGGTCAACCGGTGGTTCATAATTATATTCTAAGAAGACTAAGCTCCTTTAAATAGAGCATAGCATTGGCATTATTTTCCAAGTGACCTCTAAGTGTTCAAGTAGAACTCGGCCATACAAAAATTGTTCGAGTGGATCAATTCATCCATACAAAAAGTGTTCAAGTTTAAAAAAAAAGATGCATTCATTCATAAAATTCCTAAAGTTTTGTGTTTGCGAAAAGGACACTTCATATTCTCTCTACAATACGAAGGTAAGCCTTTTACTTAATTTCATTCTGTTCATAGTTTTTCTTTTTTCCTTATGTAAATATGATCTTTACGTATGCAGCAAAAGATAGTGATCAAGGTGCAATTGACCTCTGAGAACTGCAGAACCAAGGCCTTGAAGATTGCTGCAGAAGCCAAAGGAGTGAGCAATGTTTCCATAGACGTAGAGAAAGCGGTAGTTGAGGTGATTGGAATTGGAGTTGATGCCGTTTCCTTGGCACAGTCATTGGAGAAGAAGCTTGGTTTTGCTTCCATTGTAAGTGTTGGAGAAGTGAAAAAACCAGAGGCGCCAAAGCCAGTCATTCCAATTGAATGGACATCAAGCTATATTCACTGTCCACGGTATGCTGTGCGCTATGATGGACTCTGCCGATGTTAAACGAAGCACTGTTTAATTAAGTGCTTCTGAGAACGTATCAATTATTTCTGGCTGTTGTTAAACCCTTAAGTTGTAAATCTTAGCCTTTTTACCATTAATAAAAAGGCAAACAACAGTTGCTCTATTTATTTGATTATCATTGAAATTTTGTTGATTATAGTTTATGGGGAAACTTTGATTTATGATAAGCATTTCTTTTCTTCTTTATTCACACCAAGAAGGACCAGAACCATATAGAAAACTTTGTGCGCCTCAAAACCCCCCATTTGACCCATGAATAAGGGATCGGCCTATTTAGAACAAGAAGACCAAAACTTGAAAAAGAATTTAAAAAAACTACCCAAATTGCAATTTAGACGGTCCAAATTAACATCAGAAATGAATAATAAAAAATGTGTGCACCATCTTTAGTTATATATTTTACAAGTTGGCAAGTTGGCTTACACACACTTTGACTTGCAATTTTCTGCTAAAAAAACTAACATATTCAAAGGACACAATACTCTTCATTCAGCTCATCCAATTCCACTGTCAAGATGTAAGCCCCTCAAACTAATTGCAGATCAAATCTCTTTGTGGCCTTATTGACAATAATAGGGCTATACGGCACACTACTGTATATGCCAACACTGATATTGTCCTTAACTAACCACCTGCATAGTGCGATATGTATGAAATTAACCAATTTGGAGCAGTATTGTATTGATATTGTAATTAATCCAAGTCACACTACTACAAAAAGAGAAAAAGACGACCAGAAAAAGACGACGGCAGAACATAAAACCGTCGTTGTATTTAAAACAACGACGGTATAAAAAAAAACTGTCGTGGATAAGTGCCTTACTGTTGAATATTTTTAAAAGACGACGCATACAAATAAAAAAGCGTCGTTGTTTTAAAAAGGATTTCTTCATAGTTAAAATCTGACCAAAAAACAACGACAGCAGGTATGAATCCACCGACTTAGAAAATAAAGATGACAGTTCACCAAAAAACCTGCCGTGTTAACTCCTAACTAAACACGACCCACAGTTCTTAATCCACGTCTGTATACTACGACGGTGCCTTCTCTGTAAACCGCCATCTTAATTTTTATTTCTTTTTAAGATTTAATTATTTTTTAATTTTGGTAGCCTACAAAAATTAAAATGAGATCCCAGTAGGTATGATATCTTACCTTTGAGATCTTTGGATCCTGATCATAATCGAACCACCAAAGTGAGAAAGACAATATTTTAAATACACAAAATCCAAAAAGAAACCAGAACTGAACTGACTACTGCAAACTTTGAGAAAGACAATGTTTTGAAAGTTAATGATGTGTGCGTCTTGGTGTCTTTGAGATACACCAGAACGCATACATCATTAACATCAAAATTATTGTCTTTGAGATGTGAGAGAGAGTGATGATGTATGTGTGTATGTGAGAGAGGAAGACGAGCCTCCAGAGAGATCAGAAGAATTTGGAACCCTAAATGAAAATTGAAACTGAAAGAAAGAGTCAAATTTATAAAATAAATCTTTTAAACTCACGGCGGTCCTTATAGACATAACGCCGTGTAATTTAAAAAACCACGTCGGTTATTCTTTAATGGAATCCACGTCGTATAATTTTATGGAATCCACGTCGTATAATGTAATGTAATCCATGTCGGTATATTACAAAAAAAAGACGTGTTAAATAATATACCATGACGCGAGAGATTAATTTATCGACTTATTATTTTGGAGTGTACTACGACGGTACCTACAACACTACTGTCGTATTTATTTACCACGTCCTAAGTTCAAATTACCGTCGTATTTTTCCTATTTATACGTCTTCCTTCTCTGTAAACCGCCATCTTATTTTTATAGCCTTTTAAAATTATTTAATTTTTCTTTTATTTTGGTAATATCTTTCTTAACACAAAACAAAATTTAATTCTCAATCCTCAACAACATTTTCATCTTAAAAGGCAAATCTCTTCCTCTTGTTCATCTTAAAATTTAAAATTTCATTTCCTTTTGATCAATATTTACACAATATATGTACACAAATTAGGCAAATACATCGTGGTTTCTTTTCTGCCTTCACCCTCAGCTTGTTCAACTGTTTCTTCCTCTCATATGCAAGCTGGGCCCTCTCCTTCCTCTTGTTCTCAAGCTCCTGCACAGCCACAGATCAATATCTAATAATTTCAGAAAATCAAAATCAACAAAGTGTGAAAAGCTCACTTTAGAGCATTATGAATGACCATCCTCTTTATCTTATCATAAGGAGCATCAGGAACACCCTCGTATGCCTTCAAACGGGCAAGTGCGGCTACAAACCCATGCTTGGTCTTGTGAGGAATCATTCTGCAAACCCATGCTTGGTCTTGTGAGGAATCATTCTGCAAACCCATTTGCTTTCAGAAAGACAATTTTTTAGAATTTGATGAGACAGAGCAAAGGGCAAGAAGAAGTTGGAACCCTAATTGAAAACTGAGAGCTAAAAAACGCGTGAAAAAATCATATTTAAACAAATTATCTTAAATATCCACGTCGGTTCTAATATACATAGCGACGTCATATTTGAATAATCAACGTCAGTTTAGATAAACAAGCGCCGTC